AAATAGTTTGCACACAATCTCAAGTGGTTCTTGGATTGTCTGTAACCCATATCTGGGTACCCTAGAGGGATCCATGAGACTCAGAGTAAAAACTCTTGTATAACAAATTGGTTTTCAACAAAATTCATTGAATAAATTTTCTTGGCTAATAGCAAAATTAAATAAAGAGATATTTGGCAGTAAATTTGGAAATAATCACTCATGACCTATGAGAGACTGGTAGAGTTCAGGATGCCACCTGAGCTACCTCAGTGAGCAGCAGCTGCAGGGAAGATGGGTGCAAAATGAGGCTCTGTTACCAAGTGCTCAGGTGCCTGCAAGCATCCATCTGTGCTCCTGTGTAATCTCTAACATGATTCTTTTGTTTTCACAGTCCACTGACATGGATTGAAGAGAAGGGGCCTGGTCTAAAACGAAACAGATATTTAAGCTTCCATTTCAAATCTGGGTCCCTGGAGAATATACCAAATGTAGGAATCAATAAGAATATTTTCTTGAAAGATCAAAATATATTTGTCCAGAAACTCTTGGGCCAGTTCTCTGAAAAGGAACTAGCTGCTGAAAAGAAACGCATCTTGCACTGCCTGTGGCTTGCAGAAGAAATCCAGAAATGCTGCCGCTAAAAGAAGAGCAGAAAGCAACAGGGCACTTCCAAGACAGAACCATAGTTTGATTTTTATCAAGAGTTGACCTTTGTCTCTATTCATGCAATTAAACATGTCTTGGGTAATCATGATTTGCTTATTGTCACAGGATGTGTTGGGAGTGATTTGGGAGTAGGGGCACTTGGGGTAGGGATGAGGAAGGAACTCAGCTTGCTTAAGCTGAGCTAAATGCTTCGTATGCATGATTCAGTTTACTTTTCCAGCAGACTTATTAGGAGGATATTACCAGGCTTGTTTTCATTAGTATATTGGAAATTCTTATTTGAAATCACTCAGGTGGTAAATAGCAAAACCAGTTTCTAAATTCCACTCACGTGTTGAACCACTACAAAATAGTGACTTTAACACTCTTCCCTGCTTTAAGGAATTTTATTTTCCCTCACAAACTTTTACTGGGTGACTATGCTAGGTACTGGGAATTCTAAAATTGAGTGAGATATAGCCATCGCCCTCAATAACTCACTGTGTCATTAAAAAAAAAAAAAACAGTCACATAAACCAGTCATTGTAATGTTTTAGGTCGAATAAAAGAGATATGCCCCTGCCATCTGGAGAAGGTCTGAGGGAAGACTTCCAAACCAGATCTTTATGATGAATAAGTTAGCTGTGTAAAGGTCAGAGTAGGGCTTTCCTGGAAGAGGGCTGGCATGAGCAAAGAAAAGGTAGTGAGAGGCAGCCTTGTGAGTGCTTACTCCTCACTTGCCATTATGAGATTTAACCAGTTCAGAATCCATAAGGTCACTGATGGAGGCAAACTTTATTTTCTACCTATTTCCATTATTCTATCGTCATAACCCCTCCAGGTAAAGCAGACAAATATATTCAATCTTTAAAAAAAATCCTTAGTTTTTCTTATGTTTGCCATATAAAATAATTTGTAATAAATATTGGTCAATTTATTTTCTTGGTTTATTATCCACATCAAATATCCATTGAGGACAGGAAATATTGTCTCTATTTTTGTATGCTGTGCTGCATCTAGTATGAGGTAAATATTTGATGACAGAAATGCAATGCCATAGCCTCTCCCATTTGGGACTGATAACTCTGCTGTTTCAATAATATTAGCCATATATATTGGAAGTGGGGGTGGGTGTCAAAGAAAACCAGAGCTAGACAGTAAGTTGGTATAAACATATTTCATTTAGGACTATTGCAGTAAAGAAAAAGAGACCTCCGTATAGAACTGGGCTTAATTTTGAATAGAGCATGGGCAAGTGGGCATTTATAGCCAAGGAACAGGATAGAGGTCAGTGAATGGAAAATTACTAAGGGGAAGTAGCAAGGGTAAGGGGGTTCTGGGTAAACTAACTTGACAAGATTCTAGCAGAAGGCAGCCCACCCTAATCAGATACTGAGGTCTGGGATGAAGAAATTTGATCAGATGTTGAGGGTGGAGATTCTTTATTATTATTATTATTATTATTATTATTATTATTTACTTTTTGGGGGGTGATGAGATTTGGGGTAATTTTTTCAAGTTACAGTTGACATTCAGTATTTATATTAGTTTCAGGTGTACAGCGTAGTGGTTAAACATTTATATAATTTATGAAGTGATTCCCCCGCCCCTTAGTCTAGAACCCACTTGACACTATACATAGTTATTACATTATTGACTATATTCTCCATGCCGTACTTTACATCCCTGTAACTATTTTGTAATGACCAATTTGTACTTGATCCCTTCATATTTTCACCCAGCTCCACAACACCCCTCCCATCTGGCAGCGATCAGTTTGTTCTATCTATGAGTCTGTTTTTGTTTTGTTTCTTTGGTTCTCTAGATTCTACATATAAGTGATATCATGTGGCATTTGCCCTTCTCTGACTTATTTCACTTAACATAATACCTTCTAGATCTATCCATGTTGTCACAAATGGTGAGATTTTATTCTTTTTTATAGCCAAGTAATATTTCATTGAATATATGCACCACTTCGTCTTTATCCAATCATCTATTGATAGGTAGTTGCTTCCACATCTTGCCTATTGTAAATACTGCTACAGTGAATGCAAGGATGCATATATCCTTTCAAATTAATGTTTTAGATTTCTTTAGATAAATACTCAAAAGTGGAATTGCTGGATCATAAGATAGTTTTATTTTTGATTTTTTGAGAAACCTCTATACTGTTTTCCATAGTAGCACCAATTTGCAATCCCAACAATGCATGAAGTTTCCCTTAACACCACATTCTTACCAGCACTTGTTGTTTGCTGATTTATTGATGATAGCCATTCTGACAGGTGTGAGATGATATCTCATTGTGAATTTAATTTGTATTTATCTGATGATTAGTGATTCTGAGCATCTTTTCATATATTTATGGGCCATCTATATGTCGTCTTTGGAGAAATATCTATTCGAGAGCTTTGTCCAATTTTAATTGGATTTTTTTTGTTTGTTTTTTGGTGTTAAGTTATATCAGTTCTTTATAGTTTTGGATATTCTTATAAGTATCATTGGAGATATTTTCCCATTCAGTAGGTTGTCTTTTTATTTTATTGATGGTTTTCTTTGCCATGTAAAACTCTTTAATTTTATGTAGTCTTAATTTTTTTTTTCTTTCTTTTGTTTCCTTTGCCCAAGGAAAAAATGTATTACTAAGAGCAATGTTCAAGAGTTTACTGCCTATGATTTCTTCTAGGAGTGTTATGGTTTTGGATCTTACATTTAAGTTTTTAATCCTTTTTGAGTTTATTCTTGTATATGTTGTAAGAAGGTGGTATAGTTTTGTTTTTGAGATGTATTTGTCCAGTTTTTTTCCAACACCATTTATTGACTAGAGTGTCTTGACCCCATTATATACTCCAGCCTCCTTTGTCAAAGATGAATTGGCCATAGAGTTATGTTTTTTTTCCGGGCTTTCTATTCTGTTTCTTTGATCTATGTGTCTTTTTTTCATTCTAGTACCATGCTGTTCTGATTACTATAGCTTTATAATATAGTTTGATAACAGGTACCATGATAGCTCCAACTTTGTTCTTCCTTCTCAAAATTGTGTTGGCTATTCAGGGTCTTTTGTGGTTCCAAATGAAATTTAGGATATTATAGTTCTGTGAAAAAATGCCATTGATATTTTAATAGGGATTGCACTGAATCTATAGATTGCCTTGGGTAATATGGACATTTTAACAATGTTAATTTTTCCTATCCCTTAGCATGGTATATGCTTCCATTTATTTTTTTATTGTATCTTCTTCAGTTACTTTCTTCAATGTCTTATAATGCTTTTTTTATAATTAACCTTGGTGAAATTTATTTCTAGGTATTTGATGCAATTGTAAATGGGATCGTTTTCTTAATTTCTCTTATAGTTCATTGTGGGCGTATAAAAATACAACCATTTCTAAATATTATTTTTGTATTCTACTTTACCAAATTCATTTATTGGTTCTAATAGTTTTTTTTTATTTTTTGGTGGACTCTTTAGGGTTCTCTCTATGCAGTATCATGTCATCTGCAAATAATGACATTTTAAAATCTTTCTCTCCAGTTTGGTTGCCTTTTATTTATTTTTCTTGACTGCTATGGCTAGGACTTCCAGTATTGTACTGAATAAAAGCAGTTAAAGTGGAGATCCTTGACTTGTTCCTGATCTCAAAGAAAATACTTTTAGCTTTTCACTGTTGAGTATGATGTTGGCTGTGGATTTGTCTTATATGGTCCTTATCATGTTGAAGTATGTTCCCTCTATTCCCACTTTGCTGAGTTTTTATTTTATCATAAATGGATGCTGAATTTTGTCAAATGATTTTTCTGCATCTACTGATATGGTCACGTGATTTTTATCCTTCATTTTGTTTATGTTGTGTATCACATTAATTGATTTGCAGATATTGAATAAATCTTGTACCTTAGGAATAAATTCCACTTGATTATGTTGCATGACCTTTTTAATGTATTGCTGAATTCGGTTTGCTAATATTTTGTTGAGGATTTTTACACATATATTAATCAGAAAGATATTGGCCTGTAATTTTTTTTGTAATGTCTTTGTCTGATTTTGTAATAAGAGTAACAGCCTTGTAAAATGAGTTTGGAAGCCTTTTCTCCTCCTGAAGTTTTCGGATTCGTTTGAGAAGGAAAGGTGTTAATTCTTTGATTGTTTGGTAAAATTTACCTGTGAAGCCATCTTGTCCAGGACTTTTGTTTTTTGGGTGTTTTTTTGATTACCGATTTGCTTTTATTTGTAGTAATTGGTTTGTTCAGATTTTCTGATTCTTCTTGATTCAGACTTGGAAGATTGTATATTTCTAAGGATTTATCCATTTCTTCCAGGTTGTCGAGTTTGTTGACATGTAGTTGTTCATAGAATTTCTTAAAATGCTTTGTATTTCTGTGGTGTCAGTTGTCACTTCTCTTTCATTTATGATTTTATTTATTTGAGTCCTCTCTCTTTTTTCTTGATGAGTCCAGTTAAAAGTTTATCAGTTTTGTTGATCTTTTCAAAGAACCGGTTCCTGGTTTTATTGATCTTTGTATTTTTTTTTAAGACTCTTTTTCATTTATTTCTGCTCTGATCTTTATTATTTTTCCCCCTCCTACTCACTTGGGCTTTGTTTGCTGTTCTTTTTCTAGTTCCTTAGGTCTAAGATTAGAATGTTTATTTGAGATTTTTCTTGTTTCTTGAGGTAGGCCTGAATTGCTATGATTTTCTCTCTTATGACTGCTTTTGCTGTGTCCCATAGATTTTGAGTTGTGTTTTTGTTTTCATTTGTATCAATGTATCTTTTGATTTCGTCTTTGATATCATAATTAACCCATTCATTGTTTAGTAGCATACTATTTAGCGTTCATGTGTTTGTGTGTTTTTCAGTTTTTTTCTTGTAATTTCTAGTTTCATACTGTTGTGGTTGGAGCTGATGCTTGATATGATTGCAATCTTCTTAAATTTGTGGAGACTTGTTTTGTGGCCTAAGACATGGTCTATTTTGGAAAATATTCCATGTGCACTTGAGAAGAATGTGTATTCTGATGCTTTTGGATGAAATTCTTTAAGAATATCAATTGAATTAATCTGTTCTAATGTGTCATTTAAGGCCACTCTTTCTTTAATAGGGAGATCTATTTATTGATGTCAGTGTGCTGTTAAAGTCCTCTACTATGACTGTATTACTCTCAGTCTCTCCCTTTATGTCCATCAGTACTTGCTTTACATGTTCAAATCGGTCAATGTTGGTTGCACAAATGTTTACAAGTGTTGTATCTTCTTGTTGGATTGATCCCTTTATTATTATGAAATGTTTTTTCTTATATAGCCTTTGTCAAAAAGTCTATTTTGTCTTATGTAAGTATTGCTACTCCAGCTTGTTTGTTTGTTTCCATTTGCCTGAAATACCTTTTTCCATCTTTTTACGTCAATCTGTGTGTGTCTTTCAATCTGAAGTGGGTCTCTTGTAGACAGCACCTGTATGGGCCTTATTTTCTTATTCATGCAGCTACCCTATATCTTTTGATTGGAGCA